GTCCAAGATCAAGGCACTGTTAGGTTTGGTTTCTGGTGAGAACCCTCTTCCAGGTTTGCAGATGGCAGCCTTCTCTCTCTGGCATGCTCTGGTCTCCCTTTCTCATCTCCTAAGGACACTAATCCCATCATGGGAACTCCACCCTCACGACCTCATCCAAACCTAATCACCTCCCAAAGGCCCCGCCTCCAGGTACTTCCGCACTGGGGATCAGGGTTTCCACGGATGAATTTTGGGATGTGTGTGTGTGTTGGGGGGTGGTATTCAATTTCACCAGTTATACATCCTAGCTATTAAATATGTTCAGAGCCATTCTACATATATTCCTCTCAATGATTTCAGGTCAAAATAATAGAAACAGATCCACCATATCTGTAAAATTATACCAGTAAGAGACTGGTCATTTAAGGCCAAGGTCAGGAGCTTGACTATCCCCAGGTAGGCCTGTTGAAAGGATAAAAGGGAAAAATTCAGTTACAAGGACACCACTTAACTCTCACCCTGAGCACTATTTAGTAAATCTCAACCAACCAGGCAACCACTTAACACTACTATAAAAATAACTCCCTCTCTCATCTCTAGCTCCAGACCTCTGTTCCGGCCTGTGTCTCTAGCTCTCTGCTGGGCATCTCTCCCAGGAAGGCTCACAGTGCAGTCCGGGATTCAGCTGAGCTCATTAGTCCTCACCGTCTCCTCCAACTGAGGATCCCCACAGCTGCTTACCTCAGCGAATGGTGCCATGACTGATCACCCTGGACTCCGTCTCACTAAGTGCCCACACCCAAAAGATGACCAAGGAAGTGTGACCAGTCTCTCCTGGCCTCCGCCTTCCTCTCCCCTTCTCCTTCTCCAAGTCCCTCATGGATTCCTGCACTAGCCTCCCAACTCACCTTCTGTCCCCATTCTGGTCTCCTTGTCACCCAGCCCACGTCACGGCCACCAAGTTCTTTCTAAAGCACAATAAAGCAAGTCAATTACCTGCTGCAAATTCTCCATCATTTAGCCAGCTTTGGAGATGAGGTTCAGCTTCCTCAGCTCAGCACCCAACCCCAGCACCCTCAGGGCCTTCCCTACACAACCTGCCTCCAGTCCACACAACTCTCAGAGCCCTGACTGCCTTACACCTTTGCAAGCCTCCCAGATTCCAAACATGCAATTATTATTGCATAATGTATTAATGGTATTTTAAAAGTGATGAAAAAGAAAACCTGGCAGGTGCATGAGGAACCAAGTATCCACTTTTCTTTATTCCTTCATTCATGCCTTATACAGCGTGAGAGCAAGAAATGTTTCAAGTCCCACACCAGATTCTTCCCTGGACACATCTGGGTTTTATAAGCTGATGATCAAAACTGACCTTTAATTCCTTCTTTGCCTTTCTAAGGCTGAGAAATCTCACCTCTGAGAAAAAAAAAAAAAAAAAAAAAACTGTCTTCATGGCATGTGGCTGCTGGTTCTACTCACCCACTACTCAAACTGGACACAGACTTTTATAAAGCATGGGAAAAAAAGAGCCCCCTCTTTCTCCCTTATCCCTACAGAGAACCCACAGGACTGGCAGCCCCTGTCACTACCCGCGGCCAGATCACTCCCGCTGAGCAGGAAGGCTTGTGGGAGGGAAGCACACCCAGCCAGCACTCTGCTCTCCCAGCACAGTCTCCTCTAAAGCAAAAAAGGAGCTTCCTGGGTTTATGGAGGTCTTTCGCACAGTTTGCTTCGCCAACTAGAATGTGTACTCTGTGAGAGAAGAGGCCTGCTCTTGGTTCTTGCTGTGTTACCAGAGGCCAGAGCAGAGCCTAGCCCATGGGACAGGCTTCATAGGTATTTGCTGAATGACAGGATAAAAGGATGGACGAATGAGCAAAGAGGCAGTCCTCCTCAATTAGAAGAGCCACATACAGCATAATTCCCCTGCTCAAGAAATAGTGTTTGGCTAAGAATGCCTTTTGTTCACTTTGTGCTAGGTACAACCTTAATAAAAACTGGGCAGTGTGGGCGCCTGGGTGGCTCAGTTGGTTAAGCGACTGCCTTCGGCTCAGGTCATGATCCTGGAGTCCCTGGATCGAGTCCCGCATCGGGCTCCCTGCTCGGCGGGGAGTCTGCTTCTCCCTCTGACCCTCCCCCCTCTCATGCTCTCTCTCTGTCTCTCTCTCTCTCAAATAAATAAATAAAATCTTTCAAAAAAAAAAGAAAGAAAACTGGGCAGTGTATCATTAACCCCAAAGTATACTTTAAAGTTGCTTTTCGGAAAAAGTTCTGGAGATTAGATATTTACTTACTGCTTGTATCTTTCCAAGAGCAGTAAGCATTGAGTAAAACGTTGCCTTTAGGATTCCCCAAGAGGCATGCACTTTGTCCAACCATTAAAGTTCTTTTGTTCCCCCCCCCCCCCCCATCAAACGAAATTTGGATATTTACTTTCATGGGACTGGAAACCTGAGAACCTGCCATCACAGGGTCAGTGAGGCCTGGAATTGTAAGCCATACCTGTGCTCTTGCCCTCCGAGCCACATGCAGCCTGCACTACACACTCCCCCAGAACTGGAGTCCCAGGGAAGGCTGACGAGAATGGGCCAAAAGGATGCAGCACGTAAGTTCTAGAGAGATCAAGTGTTTCTGTCTGTGGGCTGTCAGAGGCAGGGGGACAGCCTCAACTCAGGGTCCGCCTCAAGCAACCACAGCTCAGGTATGCATTCCGACTCTTTGAATGGCACTGCTTTTTCCAGGGCATTTGAAATATTTGACAACCAACGTTAACATTTTCTGAGCACTTAGCACGAGACACCACCCCAAGTCCTATACAAAAGTAATCCTAGTTAATCTTCAAGGTTAGTCTTTGACTTGAGCTCTGCCACCAAGTTATAGACACAGAACCCAAGGCTGAGAGAAATTAAGTAACTTGTCCGAAGTTCAGATAGTAAGTGGCACCTCTGGGAACTCAACAGCACCAGTTTAGGTCTCCTATATTTTCGCTTCCTATTTTGTCAATTCTTTGCAATAAAGAATCTGAGAAGCTGTACACAATGTTCATTAAAAAGGACTATGTACTTTTCTATATGTTGTTTTTCTGTCTTCCACTATGGAATTTTCCTTCCTGCCCTGTCCACTATATGCAGTGAAATCTCTTTAATTCATCAGTCCACACATCTTTGTAGGCAGGTGCCATCAATTCTGAGCCCATCTACATGGATGAACAGTATACATTCCTTTTTCCAGAAGGCACTGCTTTGCTCTCATCTACAAAGATCCTTTTTCCTTCCTAAAGACAAATGACTGGTTCATGTACCATGATTCAAATTACATTTGAGAATGTTCATTTGCAGAGTAATTATTCTTCCTAATTGGACTGCTCTAAAGACAAATGATTCTCCCTCCCCACCCCTATCATCTCCTGCAACATACCATGTCTTCTTTCCTGGCCTAAAATGTTTGCTGCACCCTTTGCAAACCACAACCAGAGACACTACCTGCTCTATGTGTGATCACCTAGAAAAAATATTATTATACCCTAATAGTGGTATTACTGCAAGCCCCTCAACTATTTCATCAGCATCAGATTTGACACAGATTAATAACAAACCTGTCACAGTATGACGGCAAAAAGAAATGAGGATCTTGAATTTTCTTTCTTTCCTCTATCTTTAAAACATTTAATCTTCCCACTAGCATGTGCTCCTTATCTCTTAAATTGTAAATGAAGTCGGTTTTTAAAAAGACCAGGAGGAAAGAATCAGAAACACCCAGGAAAGGGCAACGCCAAAGAAATTAGCACCGATCCTCGCTTAAACCTATTGGGGGTGGAGCTCTCAAGCGAGTGAGTGTAGGAAAAGCAAAGCGCCCATGATAAACGTTCCTTCGAACTCGGTTACTCAGGTTTAACTCTCTCGGACGAGACCCTAACCGCTCCCCTCCCCCTCGCACTCACCCCTCTTCTCCCTCTGGCTCAAACACACAGTGGTCTACTGGGGCTACTTTGCGATTTCAAACAGAAGTTGTACTTTTACATGTGGGTCACGGATGGCAACCTACAAGAACGCACACAACTACAGAGAGAAAACGGGAAATACAGGAAATGGCCCGGGGGGGCGGGGGGGAGTAAAGATGGGGGTGGGGGGCAAGACTTTGTCTTTACTCTCATTTACTCGCATTGAAGCAGCTCACGGATTCTCCTGAAACTCAGGACCCTCCTAGATTAAGAGAAAAATTGAACGGGATGGGAGAAAATCCTTTTGCTTTTCTCAGCTCAGAGAACACTAGACCGCTGAATGGAAGGGAAAACAGGGGGTAGGGGGAAACTTTGTGCCTAAAAACACCCAAAGACACATACAGTCTTCCCCAGTCCTTTACCCCAGCCCACGGGCTCAACCATCCATCCCAGATGTGGTCTTTCCCACTCCACGCCCACCTCCTCCAGCCCGCACCCCAAATCACTGCGCTGCCCACAAAAATGCAGCCCAGATTTGAAAAGCAGCTGACGTCTGTGGCCGGCGTGACCCAACGCCACACACCAGGCCCCACGCGGGCGACCACCGGGCGGCCCCCGAGGCGCGGTACCAAGCGCGCGGAGCTCGGCGCCGGGCTGCGCCCACACCCGCGCGCCGCGGTGCCCGCGGGAACCACCGGTCGGAGCCCGCCAGCGGTGGCGGGAGAGCTCGGCTCGCGCTGGCTTCCCGGCAAATTGCCGTTCCAGGCACAATTTTTCCACTTCTGCTGCCGGCGGCTGCGGCGGTGAGAGGAGAAGCAGCCGCTCCCTCCCATTCCCAGCATCCGACACCCGTCCCGGTGCCGGGGACGGTCCTCTTCCCTCCCCGTTGGCTCCGGGGGCGCGGGAGCCAGGTTCCCGCGCCAGCCGCCGCGCACGCAGCCCGGGCTCCGCCGGCCGCGACGGTTCGGCAGGCGCCCGGGCGGGGTGCCCCCCACCGGGGCCGCCCGCCCCACCTGGCCGGGGCTGCAGGCTCTCCCTCCCGCAGCGCGCGCGGGGCCCGGCGACTCCAACTCACCCGGCCCCGGCTCCGCGTCTCCGGCTCCGAGCTCGCAGCCTTCCCCCCGCCGGGGCTTTCCGCTACGCCTCCTCGCAGCTCGCAGCTCGGGGAAGGAGGAGGAGGCGGCGAGGGGAGGGGGCGAGGGAGGGGAGAGGAGAGGGTCCCCGGGTGGGGGAGGAGACGAGACGACAGCGCCGACCTCGGCGGCCGCCGGCAGGGCTAGCAAGGAGGGAGGAGGGAGAGGGGCGGGGGCAGAGAAAGAAAGGGGCCGCCGAGCCTCCCTGCCCAGGACCCAGCCCCGCGCCGCTGCCCAGTCACCATCGCCGCCCCCGTCCCGCTCTAGGGCCGGGCGTTCAGGGGGAGGGGTCGGGGCCCGGGGCTCTCCCGGCGCCTCGCGCGGGGCGGGGCGGCCGGGGGCGAGGCGGGGGCGGTGGCGGGACGACGAGGCCCGGCCTCCGGAGGGGAGTGTCCTGCGGGGCCCGGGAGGCTGTTGGCAAAAGGGGATCCCCGGGAGGAGGGGCGGAGGCCCCGGGGCCTGGGAGCGGGTCGCCGCGCCCGCCCCGCGGCGTTGGCGCCTCCTGGAATCCTGCGGAGGACCCCGGGCAGCTCCCGGGAACCTTCGGGGGGCAGTTTCGGGAAAGTGTCTCAGGAGCGCCGAGAATGCGCACGGCCTAGGCAGGGCGGCGAAGTTGGAGTCGGGGGTGATAGGCTGGACTGCTGCCGCGGAGCGCGGGCCCTGGAGCGCCCGAAGCAGTTCCCCAGGCCCGGGCCGGAGCGGGAGAACGTCCCGCGATCCCCGGGAATCCTAAGCGGGAGGGTGGGTTGGGGCTGCCTGGACCCCCATCCTCACCTCCCTCTCCCGGAGAGGAGGTTCCAGACATGAGTTTCTTTGCCCTGTGATTCTCTAGGAGGGGAAACTGCAAGCAGTCACAAAGAATATTCGTAAATACTTGGGGTTTTGAAACAAACTCCTCTGTCCAAAATACGGTTTCAGGATGAATTTCTAAGGCACTTTAGCCGACACTCTGAAAAGGCACATCCTTCTTGTCTTTTCTTCCTGTGAGACCTGCTCCTGTCCCCAACTTCTCTGCCTCTTGTCTGGGATACCTTTTTCCACCAGTTGCCTGAACACAGACCCTACCACTGGATTCCCGGCCTCTGCCATTGCCATAGCCACTCCCATTGATTCTTCATTTTAAGGTCTTCCCAGTTGTCCTGTCCTTTCCAAGTCCAATGCCACCTTCCTGGTTCTCGCTGTTTGGGGACTTAATGGTTTCAGTGCTCTCTCCCCCATTCCTCGCACGGGCATCCATCTGTACATGCGAGGGTAAGGGTTCTAGAACGCGGCTCAGGCAGGCCACTTCCTGTTCTAAAAGCTCTGGGAGGCGCTTTACCACAGAAAATTCTGAATTTAAAACTCTTCTGTTCAAAACCACCCACTTACCCACTCCTCAGAGCCTCGCTTGCCAGCCAGGACTCCTCCCCTCCTCCCAGAAGGTTCCATACTGTATCCACTTGGGAGTTGCTGATGCTCTTTTGCCAGAACTGAAATGCTCTTTTATCTTCTCCCACAGCCAAATCCTACTTATCTTCATCGAAAAGAAGCTTGTAGTACGTTTCTTCTATAAAAGGATGTATGTGTTCTTCCCGTTTTGTGAAATCATACACTAGAAATAACAAGGCTTATGGGGGAAATAGGGTTAGCAACAAAGGATTCCAAATCTTTTTTTTTTTTTTTAAGATTTATTTATTTATTTATTTTAGAGAGAGAGTGCTCCAGTGCACTAGTTGGGGAGGGGCAGAGGAGAAGACTCTCAAGGAGAATCGCAAGCAGACTCCCCGCTGATCTTGGAGCCAGACCTGGGGCTCAGTTTCACCACCCTGAGATCATGACCTCAGCCAAAACCACCAGTCGCACCCTCAACCGAGCCACCCAGGTGCCCCCAAATGACTCCAAATCTATGTAACATTGCAACTAGAACACTAACAAAAACAGTAACCATTCCAAAAAACATACTAGCAGAGTTTATGAGCCATGTTAAATTCCTAATAAATATTACAGTAAATATAAATACAGGACTTTTACCTTTAAGAAAGGATGGCAGTCACTGATGAAGGGACTGGAAGGAGAGTTGTTGGAGGCTGTTGAGTTCAGAAGATAAGCACAAAATGTACTAGTATAAGAGGTGAATTCCCCCCTCACAATAAACCCTTCCAAGTTAGAACTCATGGCCAAACGAATCCAAGAGAAAGAACACAGGGTGAATGGGCGTCAGGCACAGCACCGTGTATTCTCCACAAGAAGCAGGCTGCTGTGTTTTGCTTGGAACTGCTGTTACTTGGCGGTGCTTGGGACAGTTGCTTGTGAACAAACACAACCACCCGATTTTATGAATACCCTTTCCCTATATATCAATGAGTTCACTTGTGTTACCTATATTCTCATTACAGAAACAGGCCAGTAATAGAATAGCTTAATTCTAAGCTTAGAGAGTAGACTGTACTTCATTCCACACATGGATTGAGCACTTACTATATGCCAGGAACTGTTTCGGGCACTGCAGATGCATCAGTGAATAAAAAGGAGCGCAAAAATGTCCACCCTTGTGGACCGTAGGTACCTGAACTTGGCATCACAGGATGGTATTGCATATTTCTTATGGATGTAATTTAAATTAGTGCCTCATCGAATGCCTTATGTTACTGTGTCTTTCAGAACATCTGACATGTAAAGCAGTTTATACCCATTTTATGCCTTGTGTTATTGAATTCACAGGAGAATAACCTGAGAAATCTAAAACTAAAGTTTTCTCAGAACTGTTTGTTGCTATTTGGGCTAAAATTAAAGCAAGTTCCCCAGATAGGATCATTTGGATCTGAAGAGTAGGAAAACTACACTTGATAGGAAGCAAAAAATTAAGGATGGGAAGGGGAGGGAGAATAGAGAAGGAGAGAGATGCTAAAAGGTGTAGTTCGAGAAGAAAGTACTTCTAAGCTTTCTGGAAACGTAGCTAGAGAAAGAATAATAAAAGGAACTTTGGGATACTGTGAATGCTGCTTCTTTCATGTGTTTCAGCCAAATGTTCAAGGAACACTTAATGTGGGGTGAGTGAGGATGAAATTATAAGAAATTAAAGGGTACCTGAAGTGTTTGGTCAAATGACAAGGAGGCCTTGGAAGAAAATAATTATGGGCCACTAGATGGGTCACAAGGGAAAATTACAGTGGTGCCTGGCTACAGTGTTGTGATTCCGAATTTACTTGCCTGTGCAAATCACTCATTTCTCTGAACATTATCCCCCACCTAGTATAACTTGCATCAACAGGGCTAGATATTTTTCATGTGAGAATGCTGTGTATCCTATTCTGAGTGTGAATCTGCTTGGAATGCAAATAAAATATGCATTTACAAGAGACACATTTGATATATTTTCATGATTGTCAGCATACTGAATATAGATTAACTTTAAATTTGCCTGTTCATCTTCATAAAAACTACCCTCTCAAATCCACCCCCCCTCCTTCTTAGAGATTGATATTTCCTAAACTGTGATCATAGAATTCCAGGGCTAGACACACATTTAGAAATCAATGTCTTTTGAAGATCACATTAAAAATGAAATGACTTAAGCGGAGAATTTCTTCAAGGAAACTAGCAAAATTGCACTGCACCAACTTGAGGTCCTGGGAAAAATCAGTCTCTTAAAAATTATCATTCTGCCTTTTTATCCATGAATCTAATCATACAAAGAAATCATCTGAAACTCCAAGAATCCACTTTCCTTGACAAATACGGAGAAAAGGGAGTTTTGAGCACAAAGACTTGAAGAGCTTTCCCAATTAAAAAGGGCTCTGGGCAATTAAAATCAGTGCTCTGATCCTCATGAGGCAGAAGCAGTCTTTTTGGCTACAGCAGTGACGTGGCCACAGTATCCAATGGGTTTAACCATGTCATATTTCACTTTCTGCTTCCAATTCGCAGTTTTTAACTCAAGGGTGAAAATGACGGTCTTAAACGCTAAAAAAAAAAAAAAAAAAAAACCCTATTTTTCCTGAAATCCCATTACCAAGGTACCAGGCTATTTGTTGAATGAGGATAGCAAAATGTCTCCAAGTGAGAACAAATATTACAAGTGCAAATAGGCATGTAGGATTTTTCAGTAACCACATTATAGGAGGGCAGTAGGACCCGTGAGCTCAGGCCATGAGCTCCTGATAAAGAAAATCTCAATGATCTGTAGAAAACACTTCCTTAATTTTCATACATCTATTAAGGACACTGTCCACACATGAGCCAAGGGAAAAACATGGCCCTAAAAATACACCGTGGCTAAGTCATGAGAGAAATGAGCACACAGAACTTTGGGCATTTGCTCTCTTCTGGCAAAACTAAGGGTTGTTGGTCGCTTTTATCTTCAGGCCACAGTCTCTGCCTTCTGGCCTTTCTTTATTCTGTAAATGAAGCAGTAGTTTTAATTTGCTGACTCCTAAAGAAGTAGTTTGCTTTACTGCCTCTAGTTCCTAAACTTGATTCCATGAGACTCCAGCAAAACTCTACTCAAGAAGGTGCTCTGTTCATTTCCTCCTATTATGTCACCACTACCATAAACAAATCCATCTGGCCCTCATCCAATTGAGCTTACCCCTGAAGTGAGGTGGAAATTTCCATACAGTGAGAATGTTCTACTGCGATATTACTTTATAGGTTGCATGTAAATTCTACAACATTCTTAGCTGCTTAATAACACGTAACTGGCAAATTCAATTCATTCCAGGTATTTACCTGCGGACATTTTCCTGGATTACAAACTTTTCTCTGAAGAGGTACAGAATACAAAGAAGCTTGGGGGATTAGCTGTCTTACAGTATTCATGACAGGCATAAAACCATCCAAAGAAAGCCTGCTTTAGCCCTTTCTAACAACAATGCTGTGCATCTGGTCCCTGACTTGTGCTTTATCTTTTCTATTATGAATTATATGTTATTCTCATAACCTCTAAGGGGTAAGAGTTTACTATTACCCTCATTAGTACCTACAATAAAATTTGGGAAGTACTCAGTGTGATTCCGTAGCAATGCTGAGATGAGAATTTGAGGGAACCACTGCTGTTTTTTGCATTATGAAGAGGATGCTTGTCCCAAATCTGGTCCAGAATGAAAAACCCAATCTCCAATCTGAAAATCTTGCCTTTAAGGAACTTTTTTTCTTTTATTATCTTTTAATTGTCTTCTGAAAACAAGAAGTACAACACATAAATCTATAAAACCAGCAGTTGTTGGGCACCCTATTTTCACATAGTGCTAGAGTTAGAAGAGACATTATTTTCTACTGATGATTGATCATAACATGTATTCTGCCTATTTCCATATGGCCCTGGACTTGTTATTAAAAATAATAGGGACACCTGGGTGGCTC